TACCTGGGTGTCTTAATTGAAGTTCTTCGACTCCAATCGGGGTTCTTAAACTCCAATTATAGGCAGAGTAAGGTGTTTACATGCACTTTAGTTTTCCGGTCTTAATTGGAGTAAGGCAATAATTCGGTTTTCTCACGTGTCATGTAAACGTACTGACTGTATTCCTCTGTAGCGCTTAGTGTGCTTCATTTATTGCTCAGGTGAGCTGTAAGTGTTTCAGGTTTTATGACTGACATTCATAGTCTGTATGATGTTTATATTTAGACATTGCTTTGAAATGTTATATAACATCCATAAACATAAACCTAGCTGAGCTCTTTCTGTTTAGGTGACTGTGACTTACCTTAATGAGCCGTAATCTTTAGTAAAGTCTGTAAGTCTTTATGAATGTTTACCTCTCTCTTTTTCTCTCTCTCTATCTCTCAAACTGTCTCTCCACGAGGCGTGTAACCTCTGAAATGACTTCATGAGCGGCGACAGCTTATCTGTCCCTGTGGGCGGGATCGATAGACTGGCGCTCTTGTGTTCCTTGTTGATGTAAAACCACACCTGCACTGAGATCTGCCTGCTCTGAGTAAACAGGGACACCCCCATTCATTTAAAGCTGTTTCCCTTTGTAATAACTGGGTTTGATGCTCAGAAATGCTGTGCTGCAGCTGTCTGTCTGCAGAGAGGACAGGGGAGACAGGAGGACATGGAGTCTCTGCTATCGGACCATCGCATGGAGTCTTATTGTGTAAACAGCAGGAAGGGGCTGCAGGCTTCAGGCTGCAGGCAGCTCGCCCTTCGGTCTAACAGCAGGTACTGAGATGTCAATGAGAGGAGAGCTCAGTGATGATGATATCACTCTGTGTTTGGGATGATGTCAGTTTGCATGTCTCTGATAACAGGAGCCTCAGCGACTACAGCCTTCATGGTAGATCCTGTTTGTCCTCCAGGTCCTGCTGTGTGTTTGTTTCATGCAGTTTCATGTTGACACGGCTGAAACAGACAGGAGAAACAGACAGGGTTTGGTAACAGTCTGAGCTGTACAGCCTCTCAGTTCTTCATTTAGAGTTTGTTATATGAGTGTAACCTCAGAGAGAGGTCCTACAGGTCCTCATGTGTCTTAGTAATAGACCTATTTGGACTTAAAGGCACTGAAGAGTTTTAACCTGGCTGAGAAACAGACTGAAACTGATGCATCTTTATGATCTTTAAAATCAAACCAGACCATCAGTAACAAAGATTATGAAGTGGTCTAACTCTGGGATTCCACAGGATCCGGAACTGCTCCTCTCCACTCAGGCAGATCAAATACGCAAGCATACAGCGTCCACCGGATCCGATCCGTTGCTGCTGTCTGAGGAGAAGCGCTCACGATATTTCTTGTGAGACTGGGCAGGATCTCACATGTTTTCCTGTGAGACATTGAATGAGATTGGCGGTGGACATAAACACCCACATCCCATAACCCTGGCCTCTTCTGTTACCAAGTGAAGAAAAGCATATTGACTTTATTTTATTTTGAAGAATTAACCGGGTATTTTAATCTGTAGCTGCATACAACTTCCACTGATGCTCCTGCTGCGCTGCGCTGCACTGAATTGATGAACTGTGCTGTGGCATCCGGCAAAAACAGAAGCCTTGCGTATCTGATGTGACCGCTGGAGCTGATCCACAGTGGAGCTGGACGGCGGACAGATTGTGTGAAATCACACACATTGATCATAATGTTTGCTATTTGACCGGCCTGCTGTTCTGGAGCAGAGTGCAGCTGTTCAGGATTACAGGATCACAGAGCTCTCGCTGTCAGGGGTGGAACCTGGTACCAACAAGACTTTGGGATTTTCTAAATCAGAAGAAACCAGCAGCTCAAATACAGCTGCAGTCTGAGACCATCACCAACCAGAGTGAGAAAAGCAATATGTTAGTGTCTTCAGAGTCAGAGTTCAGCTCTCACTGTTTCTACAGCGTAATGACTCAACACATGGACCACAGGATCTGTTCACCTAATCAGGATTCACTGAGTTCGATGCTGAAGGGGAAATAACTAATTCTACACAGATGTTCAGACTTTACTGCTTCAAACTGAGACACAAAAATACCCAAATTAACCCTAAATCAGTGACTGAAACATCACAGACCTGATGAGCTCATTAGTCCACTGCAGATATGTGCAGCAAATACAAACAGGTTTTCTGTTGCCAAAGTAAATCACAGAACAAGCTCAACACAGCACACATACTGTACATAGAGGAGAGTGTCTGTTAAAGGATCTGAATGAGGTGGTGACCCTGTCAGCAGAGGGTGAAGGTCCAGCTTCTGTTCTGGTTCTCTGGCTGGTTTGTGAATGGAGGAGCTGAGCTGACCGGGATCATCTGTGAGTAATACCTCAAACAGCCGCACTGCAAAAAACCCTGAACTATGCCTTTAAGGTAAACCAATGACAAACACACTTTTACAGAGATGCTATTCTGCACCATTCCTAACAACCCGTATATTACACCTCCAATTTAAAGACAGTTAATCTTATGAGCACTCTCAGTATCCTCTCAGATATGAAGTTTGAAACTCTGGCTCTCAGCCCCCAGCATCAAAACTTTCACCGCCTCCCTCCAGACCAATCATAGCTTCCGAGAGGACAGAGAGACGAGCTGCTGAAATCCTGCAGAAAAATTATATCATAATTACTCTAAGCGCTTTCACAGGGAGGCTCTTCTGGGGTCCTGGAGGCTCACCTGCACAAAAGGAGTCCACTTTGCTCGTCTGAGAGGATCCATATCACACAGAGCTTTGTGAGGGTTGGACAAAAGCTGCAGAGAGATACTTTGTGACTGGAGTGGATCAGTTTCCTCTGTGTGAAACCGTTTGACACCGCTGGAGGAAAACTCCCACAGCTGACCTGACAGCAGAGTGACCCCCTGACCCCGGACCGTCATCGGGGCTATAAAGACACACACTTGCTAACACCCAGAATAATGAAGATATTACTGTAAAGCATATGATTGTAAAAACACAGTTGGTGGATCAGCACCACACACAGGACCAGAACCAGAGTCTGGAAAATGGAATTCAGAGATACATAAAAACCAGGACAATAGGGTCCTGATATGGCAGTTCAACCATCCATCCATCCACCCCCCCCGCACCCCTGCTCTCCAGAATAGAGTGCCCAAAATCAGATTTTCACATTTTTACTGCATATGCTCCTTGCAATTCTCTCTATGCAAAAGAAAAATACACACTTATTTACAACAAGCATAAGAAACACCATTTGATTTGCGCTGTGCACAACTGTAAACAGTATTGCAGTACATATTGGAACTGAACATAAAACAAACAAAGCACTGTAAATCATTCATGCACATCCAGACCTTCATGTGTGTCTGGCCACATATGTTCATCTAAATCACAGTGGATATCATCCTTTGTAATGCAGTGAGGAAAGTATCTCCTTGAGTGGTGATGCAATGTCATCACATCTTGCAATCCATGGCCACTTGTAAGGCCCTTTGGGTATATGGATGCTGGTCATATCCCTTTCATGTTGGCCCTTATCCAGACAAGTGCGTGCTGGCTGCAGTTTTTGCTCACGTCGTCACAACATCTTGTTTCAGTGGTGTTGTTTGCGGTGAAAAAAAGTCTTTCGTCTGAAAACTGAAAATGCACTTTTGGGTTATTTTTGGTGAAAAGCTTTCTGTAGACAAAATTTCTGTGCATCCCTTTTTTTCTGAGGACACAAAAAAGGAAATATGAAATAAAAACTTTAGATAAAAAAAAAGATTAAAATCAAAATTATTTAAAGTTTCTGCAGATATGACTGACCTTTTTCATGCTATGGTAAATTTTTTCAAAATATTTATGCATGATGTGTACTGTTTCCACACTCCTATCCCAGGACATGTCTGTACTTGCAGACAGAGACAGTTTTTCCCAAGTCTGCAGACCCACAGGAGGATCTTCAGAAGTTCAGCTGCCTCCATTTTCACACAGCACCCTCAGAAACCTGAACCAGTTAGTCCACACCTCAGACCTGCTGTCTGCATATTCCTGTGCAGATCAGCCTCCAATCCTGCTCACCCGTCCTTTCCCTTATCCTCCATCCTCCTCTGTCCTCCTCCATCCTTCTCCCTCATACTCAGAAACAGTGGCTGATGTGAAGGGTTATTTCAGTGCGGCTGGCTCCAGGTAAATTAGATTGAATGGGCTGGAAAACAAGTTACATTAATCCAATTAGGTTATGATCACTGGATGCTATTGGGCAGCGGGCAGAGCAGGGGCGGGCTTCTTTGTGGCAAGCAGCAGATGGAGACACAGAGAGAGGAGACAGAGTCTAAGGCGAGAGACAGAGCTGCTGCTAATGTCTGCTCTAACTCAATATAGAGGCTGCTTGCCGCTAGCCACCACTGACCCTCCATTACTGCTGCACCCACATGACCACCTCGTCTCTGTGTCTGAGTGTGTCTGTGTGTTTACGTGTGTGTGTAAATGTGTGTGTGCAGGGGGGAGAATTATCCTGAAGAGATCCAGTCCAACAGAGTCTCTCTGCAGCTGGACCTCACATCAGCTCATCCAGACCATTTCAGTGTGTGTGTGTGTGTGTGTGTGTGTGTGTGTGTGTGTGTGTGTGTGTGTAAGAGGATGCACAGTTAGCATGTTTCACATTCTGCTCTGAATTCCCTCTTGTAGTCTGGGTCAAGCCGGGCGACATTTACCCCCCCCATCAGTTGAATAATGGAGTAATTACAGGAAGCTCTGCCTGACCGCTAAACATTTTCCTAACCAGAGGATCTGAGGTAGAGAGTTAGAGAGAGGGGGATCCTCTGTATGGAACGTGGGGGGGAAAAAAAAGGGGGGGGGGGTTATGGGGCGGCTGTAATTTTTAGTATCTGGGTTAGAGATTAGCGACCCCTCTGATAGTTCACATACTGTTTCAGATTCATGTCAGTGGGTTTGTCTGTGCACACGGGGGCCTGGTCTCCCCACAGACATTTTCAATTCCAGGATTTCAGCTTGACATGAAAGAGAATCATGACGTCTAAAGACTGATTTACTTTAGATGATTATGTAGAGGCCCTAAACACTAAATTACCCATTTATATTGATGCTCTAATGAGAAGGGTTTATCCCACAGACTGAAATTGCAAAGAAAAAACTATTTTACTAAAGTCATGATGCTGTGTAAAATATTGATCATATTTGATGGTTTGCAAATTTGTATTTATCTGAAAATGGTGAAAGACGATAATCAAATGTTGAAACTGAAAAATGTGATTGTTGTATGAAACGTCTGTGCTTATTTTAAATGTTGACACGTTTGTAAAACGTAGTTTCAGGTTCATGTATCTCCTCATGTGTCCTCAGCTCTTTTTTCACCAGCTCTCTGTATACCTTCGTGAACCCAGTAGACCAGTTTCTCAGCAGCTGGACTCTACTCCTACAGAGCCATGCTGTTGTAATCCCTGTTGTCAGAATGTGGTTTGTCATTGTCTCGCTGAAATATGAAGGTCCTCCTGAAAAGTCTTTGTCTGGATGTCAGCAGATGATGCTCCTAAACCTGTAGATATTGTTCAGCATTAATGAAGCCTTCACAGATGTGGAAGATACCCATGACATGGACTCTGTTGATCCCCATACTATCAGGGATGATGGCTGTAGGCTGGGAGCTGAGAACAAGCTATACTGACCTTTTACTCTTTAAAGAGGAGGATCCAGGATTTCTAAAATGAATATCAAGGTTTTAATCGTCAAACCACAGAGTCCTGTCTGTTTTTATTGTAGCGCTGCCTGAGGGCCTGAAGATCAGGACCATCCAGTCCTGGTTTTGGTCCTTGTCCCTTTAGTACAGAGATTTCTCCAGATCCTCTGAATCTTTTAATGATATTATGAACTGTAGATGATGAAATCCACTCATTCTTTTGCACTCAGGAACATTATTCTGAAACTGTTGGACTATTAATTCACACAGTCTCTCACAGAGTGATACTTCGATGTTTACACTGTTAGTATACTGAAGAAAAAGAGTTCAGAAACATGGAATCTGCTGTTCGGGGACCCTGAAATACAGAAATGATCAACGGTTTGGATGAAATGTTAAATATCAATAATAAACCTTTTGTTCAGCTTTGCTTCCACTAATTCTCCCACTTACAGGCACTGGAAATCTGTGACCTTTGATTCTGGCTAAGGTGTCCCACAGGGCCTGAGGGTTGGCCTCAGGTGTCCCTGATGGTGTGGCCCCTGATGGGTCAGGAAATGCTGGACTGCTCCGTTCCTGCTCCTGCTGACCCCTGAGGACCCTGAGGTGGTGTTTCCTCCTGAAAACTCTGCGTCTGCTGAGAGCATTTCAGCCCTGGGTGATGGTGATGGAGGGAGGAAGGAAACAGCTTTTCCTGCCCTCAAATCTCCTTATAACTCATTGTTTCAGCCTCAGTCTCTGTGTCTGTCTGTAACTTTATTTCTAAGAATTACACATGAACCCTCTTCACCTCTCCAGGTCAGCGGTGCTCAATGAAACCACAGTGCAGCTAAAGTCATCTGACAGTAAGCAGGCCGACTGTATAAGGGTGCTACTTTAAACTCTGGATGATGCTTCAACTAATGTGCCATTAATGCACACACTGGTACAAACACAACATAAGTGAGGTACAGCGTCCAAACAGAGGGAAGAAAAGTTGGCATTAGCATGAGGCTAATCATCCGCTACAGTGAGTAAATACTGAGTTTGTGGTCCTGAATTAAAAGATTTCCTCCTGAAGCAGGACGGCCCAGCGGAGCCCCATGACACAGCTTAGAGCAGGAAAACAAACGCTGCAGTGGGTCGGTGAAACAGGGTTCAAATGAAGCAGAACTACTGAGCAGTCCTGCAGAAAAGCAGCAACTTGGCAGATGAAAAACATCCTCTGACAGTTTTAAAGTGATTTTCATGATTGGATTATTGTCGAATATGAAAATAAACCACATCAGAAAAGAGACAAGACTTTGAAGTCTCTGAAAACGGAACATTTTGTTTTGGACCTTTTCACTTTGTGATCTTTGGAAAATTTTAACAATCAGGTATCCATGATTCGTGACAAAGACACTCAGATTTGTCCTATAACAAAGTTCAACTCCGAATATCTGACTCATATGATTTCTACCAAAGAAAATAAAAATAATTTCTACATCAACATTATGATGTTACTGGAGCTGCAGAGCAGATGGAGGCATACAAACTATTCAACATAGTCCGTGTAGATGGATGTGTGACTTCAAAGCTGACTGTAGAGGTATAAAAGAGAGAGAGCGAGGCTTTTATTTTGAAGGTTTTCAATGAGAGTGGTTTCTGCTCTAGCTAAGACAGAGGAGAGAAAAGCTGTGCTGGGCTCATCCTCAGCTCTGTTGTATCCTCCTCCCTCTCTCTTAGGCCCGAACTACACGTATATGGATATTTATTTATCAGGATATTTTTGTGCTCCCGTCTAAATAAATGTATCTGTCCACACGTGTTAGTTCTCCAAAATATCTGTATCCACACGTAGCCTTCAAACCCAATCCTATCTGGTGCCGCTTAAAAAAAATTCAGGAACAAAGCTACCTGATTGGCCGTTGAATCATGACAGCGTGATGCGTCATACATTGTTTGCGGAAGCTACGCTAGTGCGTCGGGTCCATGTGACGGTGTGGCGGCTATGACAAACAAACAAAGAAAGAGACTGACTGGCTGACTGGTGGATGTAATTGTTCAACCACACGAATCCACCTATACGGATATTTTTTTGTTTCTCCACTTGTTTTTTCGGATTCAGATTTATCCGGTTTGAGTGTTCCAAACTCCCGTTTTGGTGTGGTAGGGAGGCCTAATCGGACATAAATATGTGCGGTTTGAACTATATCCGCATTCGTGTAGTTGGGGCCTTACTCTCAGTCCTTTCATCCTGTGTCAGTCTCTCCTCCCTCTCTCTGTTTTCTCTCTTAGTGTGTCTCAGCTGTGGTCCAGATGAGCTCTCAGCTTCTGTGATGAGTAGATTTTGTGATTGTTTGTGTTTTCAGAGGTTTTCTTATCATTACATTCATGTTTTGGAGCTGACTCTGGGCCTCTGCATGTCAGGACAGGAGTTATAAGAAGATCAGACTGGACCGAGTCTGGATCTGTGAGGATGCTGGATCATGATTCATAAGGGAGGCAGACAAGGAGGATCATAAAGTCAAACACACACACATTTTTATGAGTGTCTCACACTCATACTCTCATCTGAACAGGAGTGAATGACAGGCAGCGCCCTTTGTCTTTGGTGATTTTCAGTCCTCACTGTGTCCATCAAAGATAAGGAAAGAGACTGGACTCTATTACTGCTCTCTTTGACCCTGTTCAGACCAGATAATAGGGAAGAACTACCACTGGGTTTCAAGTTCAAGTTCAAGTTCAAGTTTCTTTAATCGCCACACGGCTAGGCCGGTGGAATTTTTCACAGTGCAGGTGGTAGCTGCGACAATACACCAGATATTAAACAGACATTGAACAGTTTACAGTGACATGACATGACATAACATGTGAAACGGGGTAACATGGGACATATAACATAAAACATAAAACACAGACTTCACACACGTGGACCATACGAGTTGAGCAGTCGTATGGCAAGGGGGAAGAAGGAGTTATTGTAGCGCTTTGTTGAACCACCCAGAGATCCAAACCTTCTACCCGAGGGGAGGAGCCGGAAAAGTTGGTGAGCTGGGTGTGGTGGGTCATCAATTATTTTGTATGCCCTTGTGATGGTGTGGTGTTTGTGGATTGAGTCCAGTGTGGGGAGTTCACAGTTAATGATTTTGGAGGCCCTTTTTATCACCCTGCCCAGTCTGTTTAACGTGTGTTTTGGTGTGTTGCCGTACCATGTGGTAATAGATAAGGACAGAATATTTTGAATTATGGCGGTGTAGAATTGTACCAGTAAATTCTTCCTGACTCTGTATTTCCTGAGTTGTCTGAGATGGAAAAGTCGTTGATTTGCTGTTTTGAGGAGGTGAGTGGTGTGATGATCCCAGTTCAGCTTGTTGTTGATGTGTGTACCTAGGAATTTAAATGAGTCTGTAGCAGAAATGGATTGGTCATTGATGATGATGGGTGTCTTGATGGAGGTGTTTGTCCGGAAGTCAATGATAAGTTCAACTGTCTTGCTTTCGTTAAGGATGAGATCGTGGTCTTTGCATATGTTGACCGTTCTGTCAATCTCTGACCTGTAGTCGTCCTCCATGTTGTTGGTGATCAGCCCCACGATGGTGGTGTCGTCCGCGTATTTCAGCAGCTTGACTGAAGTGGAGGCTGATCGGAGGTCGTTGGTGTATAGGGAGAAGAGCCACGGGGATAGAACACACCCCTGTGGCACGCCGATGTTTGTGGTCAGAGGGAGAGAGGTGAGGTTGTTGTGGCGGACAACTTGGGTGCGTTCCTTCAGTGTGTCCAGCAGCCAGAAACAGAGGGAGGGGTCAATGTTCATGTTGATCAGAGTGTGGAACAGTTTGAGGGGATTGATGGTGTTGAAGGCACTGCTGAAATCTATGAAAAGTATCCTTGCATATGAGTTTCTTGACTCCAAATGCTTGAGGGTGAAGTGCAGAGCTAGATTGACTGCATCATCTGTTGACCGGTTGGAGCGATATGCGAATTGTAGACAGTACTATACGTTCCAGGACCTTCATGGCTATGGGTGTCAGGGCCACGGGTCTGTAGTCGTTGAGGTCGGAGGATTTGCCTTTCTTGGGTATGGGAATTATGGTGGATTTTTTGAAGAGGGCTGGGATCTTCATTTGCTGGAGTGAGGAGGTGAAGATGCCGGCGTAGACTGGTGCTAGTTGGTCCGAGCAGTGACTTAGGCACGCAGGTGTTTAGGTCTTTGTGAGCCTGAAGAGCCAAACCTTTGAAAAGTGGTTCAGAGTGGAGATATTTTAGAGCTCCAACATAAATTCTGTTGATGTCCAAAACGTTCATACAAACGAACAGCACAGAGCAGTAAGTTGCAATGTTTTTTAGTGATCCATGAATGCCGGACTGCCTCCTGGAGACGTCCTGATAATAATAAGCTGAGAGAGGGCATATTGCCACCTACTGTAGTGGAGGCAGACATGCTTCTGATTTGATTTTTGTTGGGCAACACCAGTCCAGTGAAATCCCCTCTAATGGAGCTTTAACCACAGCTCCACTTAACTGCGCAGGTAAAGGTGCTGAGTGTGAATATGTGATCCATCTTTTTCTATAATGTCCTCTCAGAGTTTAAATTATGAGAGTCGGAGATAGGAGTAAATGTTTCTGTTTCAGTATTTATCAGCTGATCCCATCGACTCTAACATCATCACCGTTTCAACCAGAAGTTTTAATGTTTTCTCAGACTGACAGTAATGACTGAGAATTCTGATGAAGTCTGTCCTCAGTCCATCAGACTCTCCATCGTTATCGGAGAACCATAGACTGTATATAGTATGGACAACTTTACTCCGCCTCCTCACGTTGTACAAATTTGAAGCCAAATTGCTCACTGAATTTTCTCAATTTCCTGAAACCAGCATTTGTGCAGTCACGTTCGGCAGGAGAGTCGCTGTGATGATGCTCTGCTCAAACAGCGTATCCCCTGGATGTCCTATGCAACCTTCTTACACCCATAGGCTGTACCAAGTGTCAATCAGAGAAAACATGAACCCCCCTAATAAATTTTTAAAAATGGAGCAGTACAGAAAAAAGAGGACTTTAACACAAACTAGTCTTACAGTAACTACATGTCAACATCATAACAAGAGGGGAGAAAAATGTATATTTTCCGTAATTAATTTCTAAAATTTGTCCACAACTCCATCGATTTTACTGGAGGAGGTGGGATTTATGACCTATACTGCAGCCCATCACTATGGGGGCTGTTCTTATTCTCATTCTTATTCTTAATCGTCTATTCTCTATACAGTCTATAAGAGGAACTCTGAGGTGACATGTCCGAATGTTGATTTGAACCACTCTGACCATCCCTCCCTCCTGGTCTGTCCCTCCTCATCTCACAGCATCAGAGTCTATCCAGGAAAAGAGGCTGATTTTCCTCCTCTGGGACAGGCTGGTGCCAGAGAGCACTGTGGGTAACACGCCCACTGCCAGACCATTCGCCAACCACCACCCGCCACCCTGACAAACAAACCATAAACAAAGCCGGCACCAACACAACCACCAACCCCAGCCTCTCAGTCTGTCTCCATCAGCTGTTAGTGTGTTAGTGCTTGTGTGTGTGTGTGTGTGTGTGTGTGTGTGTGTGTGTGTGTGTGTGCGTGCGTGCGTGCGTATGTGTATAAATGTGTGTGTGCATGCGTGTGTGTGTGCGTGTGAGAGAGAGTGTGTTTTTTATGAATGTCATTGAGGTGATATCTCTAACCTCACAGAGAAACATGTTTGTGATGACAGTCTGTAAACACTGAAATAACAAAAACTCTGAGAGTATTTTAGTCTTTAGAATAAAGACACAATAAAAACCTGAACACTGATTGTCACAAACTCTGTCTCAACATGGGCGTCTTTCTGTCTCTGCAGAACTTTGGGCAGAGTAGGGGAGACCAGGGATGGTCCTCACACTTTATTCTGAAGTAAATATGATTAATTATCTCATCATTCAGCACTTATTCCTATGTTCTCCTCCTCGTCCTTGCCTTCCTCCTCCTCCTCCTTCTGCTCCTCTGCTCTCTGTCTTATTTGACTGCATCTCCTCAGTCTAACCACTGAGGACAGCATCAGTAGAGTTTACTCTGAGCTCTGCTGAAGGCCAGTAAACAGATCAGTCCCAGGCTCTTAATCAGTCCCCTTACGCTGAAGGTAAATGAGGCCTTATTACAGGGTTTATCTTAATCATATGGAGCTGACGAAGGTTTCTTTGGTCTGACTATGTCTCGGGTGGGTCTGCTCTGTCTTTATTGGACATTACAGGGACAAATAAAGGGTAATTATGTATTTTAGAGGAGAGGCCACCAACAGAGCTGCCAGCACACAGCGGGTGTGCCTCTCTTTGTTTGGTTTGCTGACGGTTCAGATTTTAAACCCAAACTCAGTAGAAAAGTCCGGGTCTGATGTTTCCTGCTTGACCTGCTGACTCAGCAGCCCTCACTGTTTATGGGGAGGCTGTTTCTGTACCTGCACGCTTTGTTTGGTCTGTACAGTGGTGGCGCCTACATGAAGCTGCTGTCGTCACTGATCTGGTGCTGCACGTTGGAACGAGTGCAGGAACGGTGATTAGTTCAATGACAGAGAAGGATAATTAACAGAAATTACTCTGACAGTTGCTCAACACCTTTCATTGTCACACCAAAGGAGGGGAAAAAAACTCCCACAGAAAGAAAGAAAAAAAAAAGAAGTGAACACAGAGAGACGTTCAGTCAGAGCCTGAGGAGGATCCGGGAACGCCATTTCCTGCAAAACAAAGATAACAGCCATTCACGTGAGCGCTCCAATCACTTTAGAACAAAGTTAATATGCCTGAGTCAAAGAGAGACAATCCTTCCATCTTTACATGTCATTAACCTTCGTTTTGTTTTTTATTTATTTACATAAGTCCCATATAAATCTTGAATTAGTCCTAATTAGAGAATACTCCAATGACCTCTGTACACAATCTAAATTAAATTACCTGTACTGCATTCAGACACACACACACTTAATATTACACAGTTATTCCCAAAACAATATCCAAACCTGCATCAATATTTATTTATATCCTCACATATACAGAGTCGAAATGGCTGTTTTGAACAGTTAAACGGTTAAAATAAAATGCAAATATATAAAAATTAAAAATCAAATAAAAAATATGAAGAATTTGGGAGACTAGAGACCAGACATTGCCTGAATTACTGGAGACCATTCTTCATAAAATCTGTCTGATTTCAGTTGTAGCCTTGCAATATATTTTTTTTCCATATTTAGAAGGTCCCTTACTCTTTCTCCCTAATCTGTTAAGTCAAGTTGTGGTTTCAGCCAGGATGCTGTTACTGTTTTCTTTGCAATTAAAAGCAACATTCTTAACAAGTAAATCAGATCTTTATGGATGGAGTCTTCTGGAGCTATACCCAACATGAAAAGTAAGGGTTCCATTGTAAATTGAATGCCAAGAATTTGTCTGATTTCATTTTGGATGTTTTTCCAGAAGCCGATGATTTTTGGATAGTTCCACACATCCTCTCCAGCACAGTTCAGATGTATTGCTCTATCTTGAAGTAATAAATGGAGTGTTAAAAAAAACATTTTTACTCTTAAATGACACTCTCTTCTCTGGTTCTGCTGGATATGTCCCTGAAGGCATTGTGGCTTCAGATATGGCTTCATCTACCCTGAAATTTCTCCATACTCAGCCCAATTATTGAGCAGTGCTGGGATGGATGATACTGGCTTGCTCATGTGCATGAATATATCATCTGCAAACAAAGAAAATGTGTGTTCTGTTCCTCCCTCCTCTTTGTTTCCTTTATCCATTTTCTACGGCTTATTCCCGTTAGGGGTCGCGGCAGGGCTGGAGCCTATCCCAGCATCGGGCGAAGGCAGGGGACACCCTGGACAAGTCACCAGTTCATTGCAGGGCTGACATATAAAGACAAACAACCATCCACACTCACAACTATGGGCAATTTGGAAGTGGCCAATTGACCTAACCCCACTTCTGCATGTTTTTGGGATGTGGGAGGAAACCGGAGTACCTGGAGTAAAACCACTCAAAAACAGGGAGAACATGTAAACTACACACAGATACACCTAGAGCCGGATTCGAACCCAGGACCGTCTTGGTGTGAGGTGACAGTGCTAACCACAACGCCACTGAGCCGCCCCTTGATTCCTGTAATTCCTCTTTAATTCATATTGACTCTGCCAAGTGATTTCCATTTCTGAGGTGCAGGTGCTTCCTTGTTTTTTTCAGTTTTGCAATCTCAGCTTTTTATAAACTAATAATGAAAACAGAACACGCCATCCACTTGGGTATCTTTAAGAAAAAATTACTCTGTTCAATTAATTGAATGTTTTCCTTTTTGTTTTGTTGAGTCACTATTTTTGGGCCTTCCATTTTTGTTTCAGTATTTAACACTCCAGAGACATCTGTTCGTTCACTTAAATCAGCTCTTTGCTCTGAGCTCTGGTTTATCGGACATATCTGACACTTCATCAGACACCAAACACTTTGTTGGGCACTTCATCGAACACATTATTGGACACTTTACTGAACACTTAATCTGACACTTTACAGGACACTTTAAGGTGATCCTGCAGATCAAACTGCAGTTCTGCAATGACAATAAAAGACCTGTGGTTCGGGTTAGGGTTAAAGCTGCAAACTGCAGAATCATTGTCTGGCAATAAATGTACTGATGATTTTAATGAGGCACAGTTCATATTTCAGGATGTCGACTCTTGCCACTTCCATCAGAACTCAACCGATCAAGATATCTAATTTGGTCATGGTCAGGGGCAAGGTCTGGGGTGGGCATGGTTTATCTCTGATGGTTGCCATGGTAACCAGATCAGATATAAACCATCCATTGTTGTGTACTTTCAGTTTCCCCCTCATCCTCACTGAGACGCAGAATCTCTTTGACTCAACAGGAAGTTAATTCAAGACTTTATTGAGCAGAATTATTTCAGAAAACTGATGTTTGTATTCAGAGATTAAAACCAAGGATTCAGATAAAGCAGTCTGGGAGAGAAAATCTTATGATAGCCTCAGATGAGCTGGTGGGTTACAGTCAGCACCTCTCTGAGGTTTTTATTTCTTTGTGAATTCAGCCTGTTTACAGTCATAACACTGCTGCAGACTCACACAGAAACCTCCATCTCCATCTGAGCGCTTAACCACTCAGCCTGAACGACCAACAGAGATGATGTGAGCGACTGTGTGAGCAAAAACAACAATTCTGACACATACTTCTCTCCTCTGTTCCAAAATATCTCAGGGACTGTCAGATCCTGCAGATAGTAGCCTCTACAGCCCCAGGTTTATGGCTAAACAGAGAGAAACCTGCAGATCAGACTCCGCCCTGTTCTAGACTCCACCCTGCTGGGTTATTAATGAAGAGGATGTCTCTGCTGGGCTGTAGTGGGGCGGCTCTTTATCACTGATAAAACTTTATTACTTTTATTGCAAGAACTTAAGAGCAAACAACCCGCAGGCCCCTCCCTGTGTGTGTGCGTGCGTGTGATGAGCACACATCTGTGCATCTCTGTGGAGAGTTTGAACAAACCTTTGATTAGTTTAGTCTGTTAGAGATGAGAGGGGAAACATAAAAAGGATCACATTGATGTTGAACTGTTCTGTTGAGTGACGACTTAGATTTCCAGAGCTGGTTGTCAGTTCATAGGCCTCATCTGTGAAATGCTACCTGTCACATCAGGTCTCACAATGACCTTCAACCTTTACTGGTCACACCCTGCACTGGAAAGGATAGCAGCAGAGCACGTAATAGGACCTCACGGGCAAAACCCACAGGATCCTGGATCCCCACAGGCTCTGCTCTGCACCGGCATGGCCTGTCAAATACACAAGCATTATAATCAATGTGTGTCATTCCACAGAATCCCTGTAACATCCGGCTCCACTGGGGATCGGCTCCAGCGGCTGGATCAGATACGCAAGGCTTCTATTTTTGTTGGATGCCGGAGCATGGCGCATCAAATTAAGTGCAGCGCAGCATGAGCAGCAGCGGAAGTTGTATGCGGTTACAGAGTAAATTATCCGGTTAATTTTTAAAATAAAATAAAGTCAATACATTTAACTATTGTTAACATGGTAATAGGAGAGACCCTGGTTGTGGGATGAGGGTGTTTATATACAGCACTGTTTAAATACACCGCCGTTTATATACACTGAATGGCGGACCTCATTCTATGACTCCTAGGTAAACACGTGAGAGCTTGTGAGATCTCGTCCAGTCTCGCGAGAAATATCGGTAATCTCGCGAGCGCTTCAACTCCAATGGCAGCAGCGGATCAAATCCGGTGAGTGCTGTATGCTTGTGGATCTGATCCGCCTGCCGGTCCAGAGCAGAGCAGAGCGGAGCAGTTCCACATCCTGTGGGTTTAGCCGGTCAGTCTGATATCTGTTGGAGTTATTTCCCATCATTCTCATTGTAGAAGTTAAGACATAATGGTTTGTTTGTTTGT